AAAAATAAAAATATGGTCCTGATCTACTTAAAAGACATCAGAGCCCTCCTGGGAATTTTGTTATTTGGTAGATGACCAATTGGATGACTTCTCAAAATTGTGCAAATAATGTGGCCAGTAGATGGCACAGAGGTTACGTCGCTAGACCCCTGCATGACTGACTCTGGTTCGAGTTCCAAACCCAGTGCCTTCATACTCACACAGATCCAAACTCAGTGACTTCATACTCTTTACAGGGTGCATGTGTATGGGTACCCAAGATCCCAGGAGGAGAATGGAATAGAAGGGATTGCAGTGTAGCCATCCCTTCTGAGGGGGTGATTTCTCACTTTCCTCTCACTGTCTCTGTCTCTCTCTGGGAGCGCTCTGGGGAGTACATGTGCCCTAAAGCAAAAACCTCTTTAAAAAAAAAAAAAACAAACTACAAATAAGTTGACTGCTTAAGTCTGTGATGAGTGAACAGTTTTTAGTTATCTTTTCCCTTGTTATTTTATAAAGACTAAGTGACACTTTGAAAACAGCATACGCCCGGGAACTAGTAATAATACAGCAGAGTATTCCTGAATATTTTATATGTGTGTACACGTGTGTAATCATAGGTAATTTAAAATTATTTAAATTTATCATTATTATTTTTAAAGCCTTTAAAAAAAAAGAATGATTTTGTTGAACTTTATTCTGTTAATTTATTTTTTAAGATTTAACCAGAGAGGGACAGAGTTGGTACGGGGGAGTGAGAAAGCAAGCTGTCAGGTCCAGGACTTGAACCACAGTTGGCTATGCAGGAGTCCAGAGCCCTTAACCACCATGCCACCTGTCTGCCTTCATTATTACTTTTAAATTTGTTACAGGGCATGTGTGCTTATCAGAGTGAGACAGAAAGAAAGAGAGAGAGAAAGTGAGAAAGCAAGCCGCCAGGTCCACAATGCACACTGTGATTGGCCTCATGTGAGTCTAGTGCCTTAACCTCCACACCAACTGCTGGCCCCCATGATAAGATGTTATGTTTAGTTTTGGACATGTGTTAGCCTCATTGACTTCAAGAGGCACTGATGTAGACTTGTCTGTTAGTTTAGTAACTGAATTTGGATATTAGAAGCTAACTAGAGATTGAGTTTTTGATTTTAATTTGTTATACAAATTTACTTAATTCTGTGCTCTGAATTTTGTGACAAAATGGACTTGGAGATCCTTTTAGAGACAAAACTATATATTATACTCACGGAGAGAGCGCTGGTTTAGGAAACAAGAATTCTATTTTTAGTAATGTTTGCGGATTATGAGTCTTGGGCCTCTTAAATTACTCATGAAAAATTGAATCATTGATCTATTAGGTTGTCGGGAAAGTACTGATGTATTTTTCTGTGCAAAAATGCGTCATTACTTTCCCTATAACCCAATAGATTTTTAGCTTTGTCTTTTAGCTGAAAAATATTGTAATATACCTGGGCTTCTTTAAATAGGTGAACCAAAGCTATGTGCCTGAGTGAAGGGGTCTTTTTCCTACAGTGAAGATGGCTTACTGATTGTGGGGACCATTTCAGTCTGATTTGTTTCCATTGGTTGTTAGTTTATGCTGTAAGATTTTCTTGGGGGGGGTATGTTGGATATGTTGATTGGTTGTCCTTATTTATGAAAGACAGTAGTTAAAGTACAATAGCAGGATGGAAGTACAAATATAAAAGGTATATGACTGCAATGGAAATGAAAGTGAAACTTAACAGTGTAGTGTCACTTTGTATTGCAAACAAATAGGTTTTAGAATATCCTTTTAGAACCTAACTATACAGAGAAACTTCTGCATCAGAAGCATCCCTTGATTCTGATGATATTTTCTTATTGTTTTTTTAAAAATTATAAGAATAGTTAATCGTTATCAGAAGTATTTCAGTCTTTTTTCATATAAAAATATAGAAATAGCTTAAATATCTAATGATAGATATTTGAAACAATATGCCATGAATATCTTTTTCATTACTATGGGCACACAGGTTTGGTGGGTACACAAGAAATTTTAGACAATGTTTGCTTTCCCTGTAGAGGTTTTGCTCTAATTATCTTGGTGCCCAGTATATTGCTTTGGAAATAATAGCTACTCAAGCATTCAGCTGAAAATGGGGAACAAAATTTTTAAATGTAAGATGGTGTACAGTTACTGCCACACTGGTGCTATGGACAGTAAGTGTCTTTTTCCTACAGGGAACTATCTTCATGGGTTGAGACATATAGGTTGGGGGGCTCTGTGAAAGAAATGAGATTTGACTTGAATGTTGACGAATAAGATGGGATTGGGTGCTGAGGAGTGGGAGGGGTGTTCCAGGCATGGGAGATAATAGAAACTGTGAAGGGAAGCAAGAATGAATGTACTTTGTGTGGGAGAGAACATAAGAAGGTAGGCCTACTATAGAATAAGGGGATTGGTTAATAATAATACAGTAACATTTGCTCAAGGCCGAAAGTATGTGCTTCTTATGTTTATATATGTATGTCTGTGATAGAGATCACTTTTTTGTATTTGTTAATGCTGTTGATGTGGTACATTGCTCAAAAACTACCTGCATGTTGGAATTGTATTTACTATTAAAAGGAATGAGATGAGGTTAGGTGCAGTAGGTAGGATTGGGAAACTTCTGGATTGCAATTAAGGGAGTGGAAATACCATCTAATTGAATTCATAACTCTTATATTATTTTGCTCTTTAGTTTAGTCACCCACGCTGACCTGACCCTTGGATCCCAGAATATATGGGGAATTGGTTATACTGAAATTGGGAAATCAGGGATTTGGCCTACCACATACTAGAGAGATTAAAGTTTCAGTGAAACCCATTCACTATGTCAGCTTCATCTCTGGTCTTGTTTTCTTAAAATGATCAGGAATTTAGAGGTTGTCTTTTCCTTGGAATCAACTTCTTTTTGAAAGTATTTGTATTAAAATTTAAGTGCCATTTTCAAAGAACTAGATGTTAACATGATTATTTTTATATTTTTGAGTTTTTTTGTGCCACATGTATGGCCATAATCATTTGATGTTTTTATTTTTATAGTTTTTGTTTTCTCATGCCTCATCTCTGACCATAATCATTTGGTGCAATATTTAACAAAATTGTGATAAACCCCTAATGTTTTTTTCTTTTCCTTTTGTTATTAGTGGTAACTTTTATTCTTTTTTTAATTAGGGAAAATTCTTTAGCAGGCATTTTTAAAGTATTTCTCTCTGCACTGTGAAATTGTTTTCACTCTTAAGTTGCATTTCTGTTTTTCTACCATTACAAAGTGCAGTTCTTTGCATGTTCTAATTTGCCATGACGTGGTCAAGTGCTGTTTCCTTCCTGTTACTTACAAGCCTGTGTTAGAGATAAGGATACACATTTCAGTGCATTAAAAAAGAAGCCACCGAAGACAGCCTTTTCAGCATGGTAATTCTTAAAAGCATTGTATTTCCCAGAAGTCTTTTTAAAGAACAGAAAGAGTGGGCTTTAATTTCTGCTTATTTAAAACCCTTAAAATATCAATATTAATGTTTACTCAACTTTAAATATATTTTATTTTAAATCCTTTTGTATACTAGGCCAAAAGGGATGCTGTCTGAATGTCTATTAAAGGTGAAAATACTTATCATTAAATTATTCATAGAGCAACAATTCTTGTGTATATGGTTAGTGGTAGAAAGGGAATTGTTTATATATCTTTTATTGTAGTTACAAACTTCATTATTATTATTGCTGGCTTTTAAAAAATATTTAGTCAAGTAACTAGTTTAATTGGGGGAAGGGAGAGAAAGTCTTTGTTTTTAGTAATAAGAGGTGATCTTGCCGGATACAGTATTCTTGGTTGAAATTGCTTTTCTCTTAATACTTTGAATACATTTCCCCATTCTTCCCTTGCTCACATTGTTTCCGATGAGAGGTCCGCTGTTAACCTGATGGGATATCCTTTGTAAGTC